TGTATATTGATGGGGAAAGATGAGGCGGCAACACTGGAAGAGGTAACATTGATCAAGACGCATTGTAATTGTAACTTGACTTGTGAAACTGAACCCCCCTCTATACAATTCCTTAATAAAAAGTAATATTAATAAATCTTATAATTCTTTTAAAAAATTCTGCTGTAACTGGGGCTTGAAATTCTGGTCCCACGATTTCCAGTGGCTTTTGTTCACAGTTGGTGCTCTATTTGAGCTGCATCTCTACTCCTAGCATTTTGTTGGTTAATCTGAGATGAGAGTCTTACAGATTTGTCTGTCTAGGCTGGCACCAAACTGAGATTCTCAGATCCCAGCCTTCTGAATAGATAGGATTATAGGTATGAGTCACCAGTGCCTAGCTAGTCTTATAGTTCTTAATGCTATTGTATACTAGGTACAGTATATAATATGTATCTTTAAAAGTATCTTCTCACTTCTATTAGGCTTCTTGTCTTGAAGGCCTAATCAATCAAATCTTTAGTTTTGCCAAGTCTTAATTTTGTTAAAACTTTAATTAGATTCAGTTCACCATTTCCTTCAAATAGGCTTGGATTTTCAGCACTGACAAAACTCTGGAGATCACTTTTTTACTTTAAAAGTCAAGCTTCCAGCATGCCCATAGGGTTATCGTTATTTTCCAGACCTGCCTCAGGAGAATTTTCTCCACCTATTGCCCTGTTTTCAGCCCTTAGAGAGTTGCCACAGTACCTCAGAAGAGTCTGGGCTCTGTAAAGTGATTAATCTCAGTCATGCTGCTCTACCCTCTATATTCAACTACTACAATTGAGCATTTCCTGAAAACCTCCATAAAGAGCTAAATGGTGGCTGCAGACTCACCCTGTGACTGGAGCTCCATGAGACTATAACCTGTCATTCCAGCCCACACATCGCCAATAAATCTTTGGCTAGTCTTTCTTTCATTATGGTCCACTCCTCCTTGTCAATTGTTTTATATGAAATAAAAGCAGCCATAATTCTCTCCACTCTCAGAAAGTTTGCATTGCTTGTTGGATTTAAGTTTATTTACTTGTGTCCTTACCTTTCTAAATCTAAAACAAACTTCTCTAGTTTGTGTTGTTCATGAGTAGAGTGAGTCTCTTGTAACTTAAATTAATAGGACTTTGGATTTCTGGACCTTGTTTTCCTCTTTTCTACAATGGTGATGATCACATAGACAATAAAAAGACTTGAAATACTTCTTTTTCTTTCCTCTAAACATTTTACTTTATGATTGGCATTTGTATCCATGTAGTGAAAAGCAACTTTTATCTCCTTATGGCTGCCATTTATTCCTATTGCCTAATATTTTCACTGTACCTTTTCTATGTTTAGATATGTTTACATATCTAAACAATGCTAACAAATGGTTAGCATTGTAGTACAGTTGCCCACTTCATTCAAGATAGCAACATGCCTTGCAGGGCTGTAGCCTAGGAGAAATAGACAACACAACATAACCCAAGTACAGTATGTTATACCTCCTAGGTTTGTATAACTACAATGTATAACTACATGTATAACTACATGTTCATACAATGACAAAACCAACCAACAATGGTTTCCAGAACTAATCCATCAGGAACAATGGGGCTGTAACCAGGTAGGTCACTTCCTAGGTCAGTAATCTCATCAAAGATTGTTCTACTTACCTGATTTAAATGCATTTATGATTTGAATACAGAATTTCCCCAATAGTTTATGTGTTGAGTCTTGGTCTCCAGTTGCTGTCCCTTTTTGGGAGGCAGCAGAGACTTGGGTATGTTGGATGTAGATGGAGAAAATAAGTCATTAGAGACTATCCTTTTAGGTTATATCTGGTTTCTTGCTCCTTCCCCCATTATCTTTCTTAATTCTAACTACCACAAGGGAGCAGCTCTGGCCCACCATAGCCTTCCAACCATGTAGCTTGGGCCTCATCTCAAACCCAAAAGTGACCACAGACAGAACATGAGAAAAAATAAATCTTTCCTCATTGAAGTTGTTTCTGATTTTTCAGATACTTGGTTGCATTGACAAAAGATCAATTGAGTGCATATTTTTTAGGATATTAATAAAGAGGATATAAGATGATAACCTGAAAGACTCTTGTAATGTCCTAGAAGGAGTACTTTAAAAAAGATTAAATCATCAATTTGAATATAGTGAGCTTTCTCCATTCCTTATATATTACTGGCTATTACTAATATAGATATTGCCAAAGTCCGTAATCCTTCCCATTGATCGTACCTCACTTGTTTGTCTGGGAATGAAGTGCATACAAATAATGAAACGTCTACTATGCACTTCTCTTCATACGAATCACTGATTCTTCTTGAGCTGTGACTTTTTCTGCAAGTTCCACTCGAAATTCCTATTTGTAACTCTTTCAGAAAATATTAAATGACAATCAAATCTCACTGGTTCTGGTTTCTAGTTGTTTCTCTTAATTAGTTTTCAGCCTGATTTTATTTTTTATTGTGTCCTCACTCACAAACAGACAAACATTCATAGTTAAATATACTAATTTGTTTCACAACATGGGCTTTGCACTTGGTGCTCCATTGCCTGCCCTTGCCTTCTGGGATTATCCAGCTCCTAAAGTATCTGTTCCTCAAAAAAGTACTTTTTAATCACTAATTCTGAACCATGCCATTTCTCCATAACCATTTACCTTAGCATCTTTTACTTAGCTCTCTTCCTCATTTGACTTTTCTATGTTGATAAATTCAATTTTTTCAAACTTTAACAAGTTTTTCAGGTATGGTGAAACATTCTTGTAATCCCAGTGCTTGGAAGGGTTTAGAAAGGGTTCAAAGCTAGAGTAGAATATACAGTCAGATCCTGTCACAAAAGCAAAACCAGAAAATAAAAATTAAGAAACTTTGCTTTTTGTAAGATTCATGTTTTCAGTGGATCTTCATCATTTGCTTAATCCTAGTTATTTTAAGACTCTTCTATACATACTTTTGACATTCACTTTCTTGTTATATTAAATTGACTTGTCAATCTACCTGACTTCTCACCTCTCTCAATTTTATTAATATAAAAGAGGAAATAAAATAGTAAAAATGTTAGGAATATCTTTTGTATTTATATATTGGAATTACAACCTCATTATTGTTTGGGGTTCTAGTTAGTTTCACTTACCTCTTTCATTTTTTCTTTTTCCTGGTACTCAGGCTTAAACTCTGGGCCTAGGTGCTATCCCTGAGCTTCTTTTGCTCAAGCCTAGAGTGCCACCAGTTGACCCACAGCACCACTTCCAGCTTTTTTTAAGTAATTTACTGGAGTTGAGTCTGGCTTTGAACTGCGATCCTCAGACTCAACCTCCTGAGTAGTTAGGATTATGGGCATGAGCCACCAGCACTTGGCCAGTTTTTCTTAAGTGGCTGCTAGAAAAATTAAAATTATATCTCTGGATTGTATTTGTTGATAAGTTATATTTTTGTTGGGTGGCTCTGGAGATTCATTGGAAGATAATGTTAAAAACGAATATCTTGAGCCGGAAGGTGGCTCAGTGGTAGAGTGATTGCCTTGTATGCATGAGGCCCTGGGTTCGATTCCTCAGTATCACATAAGCAGAAAAAGCTGGAAGAGGTGCTGTGGCTCAAATGGTAGAGTGCTAAACTTAGCTGAAGAGCTCAGGGACAGTGCCCAGGCCCAGAGTTCAGGCCCCATGACTGGCAAAAAAAAAAATCTTCAAAAAAGAATTATCTGTGAGCATGTTTTCTCCAAAGTGCTTTAAGAAATTACTCTTGCTACTTTTGTTATGCTCTTCCATAAAATTCTATAGTAATTATATTCCCTTTATAGTCTTCATTATAAAATTCTAAGAATTAATCACTGATAGATATCTAGTTTCAAGCTTGATTAGATTTTATATTTTCTTTCCATTTAAAGATAATACATAATATATAATTTTGTATTCTAAATGCGAACAACCACTACATTGTATTATAGTAGCTTATATCTTATATGCACATAATGATTTTGACTGCTAAATTATTTATTAATACTTCCTATGTAATAAAACAACTCCTTTTTTAAAAATCAGTTTTAAAATAACTCATTGCCTGGAAAGATTATAGCTTAGTAGCCCAGTAATACCAAGGATAGGTCTTAGGGAGAATGATAGAATCAGTTCAAGAATTGTCCCTCTTCCTTCACCATTCCAATTTATTGCAACCTACCTACTTATTTTTAAATTTCAAAATACAGAAAATAGAGGCTTAGTAAGAGTTTGGCAAAGTACTATATTAATTCAGTGTCACTATTGTCAGCTAGTTTCTTTGAACGGACACATTGTTCAGTGAATCTTTTTAGAGTCCTCATTGGATGTAGAATACATTCCAAACGATGGAATTGCTGGGCCAAAGAATGTCAACATTTATTCTTATTTTCAAAATGAGATCGCCTAGGCCAAAATTCAAGACCAAGAGCAGAAGTTCTGCCAGGAGCCGGGTGTGATCCTGAACTTTTCCTGACTTACCCAGCGGGGTTAAAGTGGCTGGAAGGACTCCTGACAGCCGCAGAGAAGACCAATAAAATAACATAGGAAGAAAACAAGAAAAGCGCAGGCCTGTGCGCCTGAGTGTCCGCGGGGCGGAAAGGCGTCTGCAAAGGCGCATCGTGCCCGGTGCGGCCTCGAATGAGCACAGCCAGCACTCTCCCCGGTGAGAGGGCCCGGGAGCCACACAGCCAGAAGCGCATGTATTTCTCCAGTGACTAAACAAACACCTGATGGGGGGTGGGGTGGGAAGGGGAGTCCATTCTTAAGCCTGCAAAGGTACTGGACGCCAAAGTGTAGGGACCTGAACTCGAGGCCTTCCCGTCCTCACCCAGACTGCGCTCCAAGGCTCAGCGCCGACGGAGGAGAGGCGCGCGTGCGCGGTGCACATTCCCTGGGAATTTCCTCCCTCCCTTCGCCCCCCCCCACCTCCGGCGAGGCTCTACGCATGCGCAGCACAGCTAGCCGCAGCGCCCCGGCTCAGGTGACTCCGTCGTCGCGCTGCCCCTCCCCCGTCCTGCTCTGCCGCTGACGCGCGCTCCGAACCCCCACAGCTGGGACTGCGCCCCAAACCTGGGACTGCGGACGGCGTGACCCCGCGTCCGGGCCTGCCCGCGCCGGAGCAGCCCCGGGACTGCGCAGCGAGCCAGCTCCCCACGTGCCGGTGAGCGATCCCGGGCGCGCATTCCCGAGGCCCCCTGCCCGCGGGGGCTGCGCGGCGGCGGCCCTGGGCCCCAGCCGGGCCTGGCGGGCCGGGCGGAGCTGGCGGCGGAGGCGAGGCCGGCGGCGAGCGGGGCTCCCGTGCCTGGGAGCCGAGCCGGGCCGCGACGGGGGTGTCTGGGCACCTCACCCCACCCCCACCCCCCACCTGCCTCCTGCCGCGGCTCCCGCCGGGCCCGCGCTCAGCCCGGGTCGGTGCCAGGCCCTGGCTCCCCACCAGGAGCGGCCAAGTGTCCCTGGAGCGTACTGTGCTTCATAGATACATACGTTAACATTAGCTCTGTGTGTGTGTGTGTAAATAATCTGGCATGGTGGCCTCGATCCTAATTCTAAGGAAGCCGTGGAGCTGGGTTGTGTGTGTAAATCTGCATTGCCAGGCCTCGTTTGCCTTCATTCCCAAACCCTGTCCGAGTTGAACACGGGAAGATTGCGACCCATTTAAATGGACGGAATTTTGTTACCCTCCCTCCCCCTCCCGACAGGGTCCCGGGAAGGTGTGGCCTTTTCGTTAAATGACTGTACTGATGTAAACATTCAGCAGCACCGGTTGGAACAGAAAGGAGAGGCTAGCGCTCCTTGGGAAACCAGTTAAGTTCTCCACAAATAAAAGTCTTTAAATGTGTCAGTGTTCCTAGGAAAATCTAGCAAGACACGCAGAGATTCACAGTGTCTGGTTGCTGTGGATTAAACTAAAAACAAGGCCTGGGCCGACCCACACTGGGCTTTGCTTCTGAGTCTTTTCTCCTTCCTAGACTTTTGCCAGGATGCACCTTCCACTCCTGCTGTGTCCTCCTAGATCCCTAGGAAGTGTTCTTCAAGCCTTTCTTCTAAAGCCCACCAAGCCAGCCAGCCCTTCCTCCTGAACTACAAGGTCACTGTAGGATACTGATAATTAACATTCAACCCCTGAACCACCTGTGGCTGACGAATGTTGGTTTGACTCAGCTTTAATGCCACTGAGCCACATTAAGATCCTGCAATTTTAGAAAGCACAACTCATTTCTGTTTTTTAACTTAATATGGACAATGTGTAACATAAGTTATTTTTTAAATGGGAAAAGAATGGAACATTATTCTACTTTCTGCAGTTTTCCCTTTGCTACTTGTGTCTTATTTTTAATCTTGTTATTCATACTGTGTTTGAGTAACTCTTAACAAGTGCAAAGCCTGCTGATTTTAAAAAGAGAATGTTTTCTTACAAATTGATATGCGCTCGAGTTTTGGATGAATGAGATTACCTTGTTTTTAAGATTTCCTTTCCTTGATTTGTTTTGAGAAAATATCAGCACATTGGATTTTAAGTTCTTTTCAGCCTTGAACTAATATGATCTTAATTGCAGGGGTTATTTTTGTATTGGTACTGGCATTAATTATTTTTCCTTCCTTGGTTTTCACATTTATATTTCAGTTCCCTTAAGTAACTCTGATACTATTATCCTAAAAGTTTCTGGTTAATGTTCTAAATTTTGCTACCTTCCCTTAAGTAATTTTGGTACTATTATCCTAAAAAACTGAGGTTAGTGTTCTAAATTTTGCTGTTATTGGAAAATAATACTTAATATTTTGAAGTATTACCTGCAAACCCATGGAACAAAGAAAATGATTCGGAGTTTCTAAAAGTTTTTTTTTTCTTTCCCAATGAGATTTGATGCAAATGTTTAAATACTTGAAAGAACAATAAGAATGGGAGTGAATTTAAAATGACTAAAGTGGATTTTAAATGATTAAAAAGTAATACTTAAGAAAATTATGTGGTAAGGGGCTGGTAGAGCACTTGCCTTGCATGCATGAGGCCCTGGGTTCAATTCCTCAGCACCACATAAGCAAAAAGAAAAAGGCCGGAAGTGCTGCTGTGGCTCAAGTGGTAGAGATCCAGCCTTGAGCTGAAGAGCTGAGGGACAGCGCCCAGGCCCAGAGTTCAGGCCCCACTACCGGACCCCCCCCCCCAAAGAAAAAGAAAATTACGTGGTGATATACATAACATTTAGAAATCTTTGCAAAGCAGCTTTCCCCTTTATTACCAAGGAGTTTCAAGATAGAATATGTCTATGTTTAATAATAAGAAAATGAAATGTGTGTTTCAGAGAACCTTAGAAGGAGCAGACTTTGGTTAGAGGTTAGCACTTGAAAGCTTATTATGATAATGATGATGATAGGGTTTTGAACTCTGGGCCTGGTGCTGTCCCTGATCTGCTTTTTCTCATGGCAAGTGCTCCACTACTTGAGCCCCAACACCACTTCTAGCGTTTTTGAATAGTTTATTGAGGATGAGAGTCTCATGGAGTTTCCTACTGTGGCTGGCTTAGACTGCAAACAATGATCCTCAGATCTCAGCCTCCTATATAGATAGCAAGGATTACAGGCTTGAGCCACCAGTGCTGGCAAAGCTCATTCTTATCACAAGTCCCAAAGGTTATCATTTTGTAATGTTAGAGCATTTATGAAACCTAGTAAAAGGCCCCCTTGTTTCAGAAAACATTTTGATTCTAATCCCCAAAGTCGTTTGAACACTCTTGAGCTTGTTCTGAATTAGTTATATCCCACAGAATTTGAGAATACTTTTTTCTGCTGGTTTACTGTAAGAGTTCTCTTTTTCATTAGACATGGGAAAGTCTTTTTCTCACTTGCCTTTGCATTCAAATAAAGAAGATGGTTATGACGGAGTCGTATCAAATGAAAATATGAAGAGTGGATTAGTTAATAATGAAGTCCATAATGAAGATGGAAGAAATGGAGATGTCTCTCAGTTTCCCTATGTGGAATTCACAGGAAGAGACAGTGTCACTTGTCCCACTTGTCAAGGAACAGGAAGAATTCCTAGGGGTAAGTGTTATGATTCCATTCATTTGCTCAAATAATATAAAACCTGCGGCTTATAGCAGCTCTATTTTTAATAGAGCTCTACTTTTTAGTAGCTCTACTTTTATGTTACAAACTTCCTGTCAATTATCTTCAGTCAAAAAGAATGAAATAAATAGTAGTTTAGGTTCCTAAAGTAGTAATGAAAATGATTTCACTTTATTTAGTGTACATATTTTTTTCTTTCCTATATATTATAGCTATTATACACCAAAGTTTAACTGATCTAGCACTTGTAACTCAATATGTAAATTATTACAAGTTGTTTATGTCCTAGTGGGTTACTTCTAAAAGGAACTCTGTGGTACTTGAAGATAACCCAAGTAGGACCAAAAGTTTAATTTGTGGTCAATCACAGGGGAAGTCAAAAGGAAATAATTGCTATGTGTTGTTTGTAAAAGTAGTAAGTCAAAATAGGGAAGATACCTTGGACTGGTCTCATTTTCTCCTTGGTAAATGTTGATGTAAGACCCTAACGGAAGAATGAACAAAGATGAGCTAGATCAGAGGCTCAGAGAAAGCCTTGAATTAGACATGGGAAGTTTACATTTGCATTGGCTGTGGAATATGGTGGTTTTAACTTTTTAGGGAAAATAGCTGTTGAAAACAAAAGAATTACTGTTCTCCAAGAAATTATTGGGGCGTGGTTACCATTTTTGGCAGTCTAGTTATGTTTTTGAAGTATGAACAATAGGCTTTCTTTTGCAGCTTGGATAAAAACCATAGAGAGTAGGTAACCTAAGAATGACTCCATAATTTGTTTGTTTCTTAGCAATTTGGGATAACGAAATAGCAGTTTGTTAAAATAGAGAAAAGAGGAGTTTGTGTGTGTGTGTGTGTGTGTGTGTGTGTGTGTGTGTGTGTGTGTATATATAATGTCAGGAGCAAGATTCGGAGCTCAACTTTAGGTACGTGTATTTTGAATTGTCTGTTTGATGTTGAGGTAGATGATTTCAGTCTGTAGTTATTATAGAGATCAGGAATTTCAAGTGCTATACTTAGCCTGAATGAAGACATCCTCACTGTATAGGTGACCTCCCAAACTAGATGAGAACAAAATGAGACCACTAAGCTTGTTAGTTTGTATAGAAAAGAAGAGATCTTTGCACTGGAAACTGGAACACTACAGCATTTCAAGGTCAGTGGCATGAGAATTTGCAGCTTGAGTGGGGGAAAGAAATTCCTATGCCTGTGATGTCCTACAAGATAAGTGAACAGAGTGTCCTGATGAGCAGTCAGCACACAGGAGCAGTCAGCTATTAATGCTACTGGGAGGGCTGAGAACTGATCATCTGATTTAATGATACGGAACTAGAGATCTCAAAAAGAACAGCCTGGGTAGATTGCAAAATCATGTGTTGAAAATGCTATGATCAAACACATTATTTTGATTTATTAATGTGTGCTAATAAAAAAGGACAAGCATGTAACCATATATAATAGGGGGACAAGAGCATTTAGGAAAACTTGTTTGGAGAAAAATAGTTTTTTGTGTTTTTGGTTTTTTTGAGGTGTTTGGCTTTATGGAAAGAGGAGAAAGCAGGTGATTGGAGGGGGTTGGGAGGTCAGGAAAGGGATTTTTTTTTTTTTTTTTTTTTTGGTCAGTTGTGGGGCTTGAACTTAGGGCCTAGGCGCTGTCCCTGAGCTCTTTTTGCTCAAGGCTAGTGCTTTACCACTTTGAGCCCCATTGCTACTTCAGTTTTTGTTTTTGTTTTTTCTGGTGGTTAATTGAGATATGAGTCTCACAGACTTTTCTGCCCAGGATGGCTTTGAACTAAGATCCTCAGATCTCAATCTCCTGAGTAGCTCAGGTTACAGGTGTGAGCTACCAGCACCTGGCAGGATTTGTTTTAAAATGGTGTGAATAATAAGATGTACTGATGAAAGTAGTCTGTGGGGGGAAATTAGTATGCAAGTGATGGGACAAGTATTGGAACAGTGTTTTTAAGTAGGAAGATGAGGATGAAATCTAGTATATAAAAGAGTGCTGTTTTTTTTTTTTTTTTTGGGTCCAGTCATGGGGCCTGAACTCTGGGCCTGGGCACTGTCCCTCAGCTCTTCAGCTCAAGGCTAGCGCTCTACCACTTGAGCCACAGCGCCACTTCTGGCTTTTTTCTTTTTGCTTATGTGGTGCTGAGGAATTGAACCCAGGGCCTCTGGCATGCAAGGCATGCGCTCTACCACTGAGCCACCTTCCCAGCCCCTGCTGTTCTTATCTAGGTAATGAGTGCATTTCTTATCAAGCATTGTTGCCTCCTCCTTTGTTTTCTTTTTATTCCATTCCATGTTCTGTAATTTAACTGAGGAGGACATGTAAGAATTCTTTTCTTGTCAATATGATGGTAGGAGTTTGTAGACTTCACTTCTCCCCTCTCCTCGCCTCACCTTCTTTCCCCATCATGAATCAGGAATGAAGATTAAGGAGAATGTCCAAGATGAATAGTTGAAAAAGAGTTGATATTTTGAATTGTCTTTCTGGAGAGTTGTATTGAAAGTATGAACTAGGAATATACAGTATGATTGTTGATGTCATTGTGAGTCACTTAAAATTAGTAATCTCAGAAGGACCAATGAACTTTGGTATTCAGGGAGGGGTAGTGTAAGACCTCCTGTGGTAATGGAAGTTTCTGGAAAGAGAGGCAACTCTGTATATTCTGTTGTCAACCAAATCAAAGTCTTGATGGAAAACAGTTAGTGAAGGCATGGTACATTTAGATCTTCTAAAGCTAAGAAATCTTTAGATATCTTTCAGTGGATCAAAGAGTACTACAGCCATTATTCTGAACACTGTTTTCACTAGCTACACATCTATATGGAAAGAGAAGGAATGAGATGAGAACCAAAAGATACCTTGTTCCTCCCAAACCAGATTCTGATTAACTATTCTTAATTCATTGTGTTAATGAATATCTAACCCTGCTTCTTTCACTTTTAGGACAAGAAAACCAGCTGGTGGCATTGATTCCGTATAGTGATCAAAGATTAAGGCCAAGAAGAACGTAAGTGATTATAAAAAGATGGCAGTGTTTTTGTATCATTTTCCTTTTAAATGTATGCATAAATACTTAGGTAATTAAGAAAATTAAAGGGAAAAATGTATCAAAATTTTCAATTATGGCATTAAATGCTTTGTTTCATTAAGCAAAAAAGACTCCTAGCCAGGTGCTGGTGGCTCACACCTGTAATCCCAGCTACTCAGGAGGTTGAGATCTGAGGATCACAGTTCAAAGTTGGCTAGGGCAAGAAAGTCTATAAGACTCTTCAGTTAACTACACTAGATTCAGAGTGGAGCTGTGGCTCAAGTGTTACAGTGGTAGCCTTAAGTGAGAAAGCTCAAGGACACAGCTCAGGCCCTGAGTTCAAGCCGCAGGACTGGCAAGTACACACATACACACACAAACACACACATGTGCACACAAACATGCACACACACTTGTGGACACATGGCACATACACTGTTAGAGTGAGATTTCCTTTTTAAAGTTTAACTTTAAGTATACTTCTTTATCATCAGTGCACAGTGAGATTTGGAAGCAGCATAATATCTATATCTTCTGAATTTATTAACACAGATTTAAAATAGTAGTAGGAAACAAACATGCATACATGTCATTTTCATCAAAAAATAGATGATAAACTATTGTCACCAGCCCCAGAATAAAAATGAGTATTAAACTGTAATGATTGTAGGGACCCACACATGGCTCAACAGGCCACATGGAAATTGTGATAAAAGCAAAAGGGATTTTCCAGTGGTTTAAGAGCCCTGAGGCACAAAGCAAATGCTCTGCCCCAGTGTTCTGAGACAGTCTCAGAACTAGAGAGGTCGGTGCTCATAAAAGCCATCCTTTTTAATGGAGCCTTTAAACTGAAATCCTGATCCATCTTCACAACCCAAAATAGAATTTTCTTTTTTATATTTGCAAGTATAGGAGTTTGAACTCAGGGCTTCCTCACACTTGTTTGCTTAGTTGAATCAGACTTCCAGCTAACTTTTTGCTGATTATCTTGGAGGTGGAGTCTCATGGACTTTTCTGCCTGTGCTGACCTCAAACAGCAATCCTTCAGGTCTTAGTCTCCTAACAACTAGGATTATAGGTGTAATCTACCTGTTCTGCCTCAAATCTTTTTTGAATATACAAAAACTCTATATTTAACATGAACAACAGAAATAAGTTATACTCTAGCATCATGATTTATGTTTTAATTTGAAAAACGTCCAATGCTGAAAGGTGATAAAAGCATATGAAAAGCTGATGAAAACTTATCTTGAAATATAGTAAATGCACAAAATATACTTAACATGAGATATAATCAAGGAATTCCAAACCTGCAGAACCATGATAAAATGTCATAAGTCAAAAGTTGGAAAGTTCAGAAATGAGATAACTATAAACAGTGGAAGAATGTGAAAATAGAGTCTACAGGCTCCTTAAAAGAAGTAAGAAAACACTGTTTAGTCATAAAACAGGAAGAAGGCAAGTGCAAATAAATAGCCAAGAAAGCACAAGAAGGGAGATAGAGAATTAAGACAAATGATTAAAAAAGATTTGAGAAAAAAGACAAGGAAAGTTCAACAAATATGTAAATGGAGCCCCTGAACAAGAAAATCAGTGATCTAAACTAGAACTAATAGTAACCATTTAAATGGACAACACAACCATGATGTAAATGAAGACACAGCTTTGTATTTTAAAAATAAACACCAACCATCCTGAAAACATTCCAGTGAAATTGATGAACTTTGAAAATTACAAAATAAATCTTGCTGGGAATATAGTTCAAAGGCTGTAGGATTTGCAAGTCCCAGACTCTGGGCTCATTCAGTACACGTATCATTTTTAAGAAAGTCTTTGAGCTGAGTACTGGTGGTTCGTGTAATCCTAATTACCCAGGAGGCTGAGACCTCAGGGTCACAGTTCAAAAGTAGGAAGAAAGTTCATGAGACTTACCTCCAATCAACCACTAGGAAAATGGAGGTAGAACTATGGCTCAAAGTGGTAGAATGCTAGCCTTGAGCAGTAGGGCTCAGGGACAGCACCCAGGCCCTGAGTTCAAGCCCCACGACTGACAAAAACAAAAAACAAGTCTTTCAACATTGAGGCAAAAGGATTGTATACTTGATAAGAGAGGGGTAGAAAATCAGGTTGACATGCTTGACTACTGGCCACAGTACAATAATTCATAAAATCACATATTTAGTAATCATAGAGATAAAACAAGGATATTATAAAGTGTCAAACTGACCATTATATTAAAATGAATGAAGAGATAACGAGAGAAAGTTTAGGACTAAAATCTTTATAGCCTCAGTGTGGGAAAACTTTTCAACCATGATTTAGAATCCAAGACTTATGAAAAAATAAATATGTCATAATTCAGATACAATTTTACAGGTTGAAAACAAAAAGTTAATTGATATTGAAATACAAATGGCAAACAAATAATATCTACAAATCAATCAAATGCAGGGGTCCAATACTCTTTCTATACAAAGCTTCAATAATTTTTGGGTAGGAGTTGGGGGTAAGCCAGCTATCAAAGGAAAACAGAATAGAAACTATGACCACCTCGTTCCCAAAATGACCTTTAAATTTATAAAAATGTTTTCATCTTGCTCATAAAAAATGCAAATTAAAGTTACATGGAGATTAACAAAAATCCAAAATCTTATATAAACAAACCCACACCTTGCTTGCCAGTGACCAGAGGTTTGGTATTATCCTGCAAAATTGCATATGTGTTCACTCCAGGGCTCAGAAATTCTACTTAAGAAAATTATTGTCAGTATAGTTGTCAAGTATAATAAATGGTATTTACACAATGTATTCATTTTTCCAGTATTTATAACAGTAAACAGAAACAATAGCCGGTGATAGAAGATTCTACTGTACACAGTACTCAGATAGAATGAGAAAGAACTATATTTTCCCACAATGTGATACTTAGAACATTTATTTATATGAAACATATGTACACAATAGAATACTAATCTAAAAATTATAAAATTGGTTTTTCTCAGAGTTTGAGAAGGAACTTCAAAATGAAGGAACAGCTAAGTAACATCTTTGATCTTATTTTTTTCCACAAAAGATTACATCAATACAGTAACACCTAAAATTGAAATGAGAGGAAATGAATTATCCTAACTGTATATCAAGTTGGTCAGTAAATACAGATTAAATAATCGACTTGAAAGCCTATTTGGATTGTCTAATAAGATCTCTAAGTGGCCAAGAGAATGACAACAAATTTTAACCTGCTCTAAACAGTTTCACTGTTAGAAGTATTGCCAGTGTAATTTTGAAATTGTTGTGAAAAAATAAAATATGTAATTATGTATGTGCCATTAGAGAACAAGATTGTCAGCATAAAAGCAAAGAGATACCATATCAAATAAACTGGATTTTCTAGTTCTGACAAAAGGTGGTACAACAAATTCTGTAAAAAGATAAACTTTGTAGCCAGCAAAAAGACAGTAGAGGTCAGGTGTTAGAAGCAAGGCTGAACCAGATGATGTAGAGGATTTTTAGGAAAGTGAAGCTATACTATATGGTTCTCATGGACACATGACATGATGCATTTTTCAAAATCCACTGAATGCAGATGATTATAATACTTTTCCATTTTGTGAGGGATTTGGTGGTAAAGGAGAGGCTGAATGATCCTGTGCTTTCCACTAATTTTGCTGTGACTCTTAGTAGGGCTCTAAATAATAAAGGCAATTAAAATATTTTTTTAATTTTAAAATAAGGGAAGAAATAATGGAATAACAAAGACTTGATTTACTTTCCCTCCCAGAGTAACTAGAACATGCACAAATACATGGACCAGTATATTCAATGGATGTCAGGCAGGACAGGCTAGTCATCTTTGAAAAGGGGGAAAACAAATGAGATTGTACCAGCTTATTATCCAAGTTCCGGACTGCATCACAAGGAAAGGAATCTGTGGAGTTTAGGAGTCTTTCCTAAGTGAGGAACTGGGCCTGGGGGGTCAAGTAGCAGAGGCCAAGAACTGCAGGGAGAGCTGTTAACCTGCAGCTCAGTAAGATGCAAGTACTGAGATCAGGGAAGACTAACCAGCAGGAACAGAAGGAATAATCTGCAGAGCTCACATAAGGCCTTTAAGAATTTGTGAATTTGTAAAAAGATGGCATTATTTTAGGATTATTTCTGGGTCTTTATAAGTTGGAGAGAGTTGTGTTAATATAATCCAGAAATTATAGTACTAAATATTTTCTCTACAAAATTTAGTTATACTACTTAATCCTTAAAACCTGTAAATTTTAAAGTGAAAGGAGGGAATAAGTTACTATAGATAGTGGAGGTAGGAAACATCACACAGAGGTCTATCTTGTAATTCACACATACCACAGACCATTGTAACTTTATCAGTACTACAAAACTCTGAGGGTTTGACTGTTGCCACTGTGATCGTAAGAACATTTATCACTGGTGAAATTCTAATAAATATCAAGATATTTTATCAGTAAATTAGCCATTTTTTCCTATATGGAATGAAATACTACATGGACTGTCATTTTATTGTCCCACTAGACTTAATAATATTTTCTATAACTGTAAACTCAGCATCAAGCTCACTCAGAACACAGTGGATACATACATATAGTCACTGGAGCAAATTTAGAGGACCTAAGCACTAAATCATGGAGGACTCACTTGCCAGTACATCATTTAAATATAAAAATATAAGAAAGTACAGATATTTTGTCATGTTAATTTTTAAATGTTTTTATAACAAACATTTAGGTGTCTGGGTATATTGTAGTTAACTATAAACCTATGTTTAAACTACTTCTTAGAAACCCAGTAGTTAATTACCCTGAAAATTTTAGAATATGTCTTTAAGAAGCTTTTCAGTAACTGTTAGAAGGTTACAAAATTTTCTGGGAGAAGATGGTGGAAGAAAGGAAAAAATGAATACTCTTGTCTAAATTATAATTCCTTATAATTTAGTGAGTGGTATATAATGAAGTGAGTGGTAAGTAAGTCTTTAAAAGAGAAGAGCTGGAAGTGGTGCTGTGGCTCAAGCGGTAGAGTGCTCGCCTCGAGCTGAAGAGCACAAGGACAGTGCCCAAGCCCAGAGTTCAAGCCCCACCACCGACCAAAAAAAAAAAAAAAACTAAAAGAGAAGAGTTTTTAACTAGAAAGCTATAAACTGGAGTGATCGGGAAATTTGAAAGTCTAATTTTGAGAGTAACTTTGGGACATTTTCCTATATGCAGTTGGAAAGAAGCTTGCAAGGAATAGAAGAGTACATTTTAGGGGCATTATAAAGATAGCATAAAGCTGTGTCAGTTATTTTTCTTGTCTTATACCAGTGTAATATTATCTGTTTTCTTGATAGAAGCTATAACATCTTCCAAATCAAGTTGATCAGTGTAAATGATTTTTATTTTCCTGTGGTTCTGGGAATGGAACCCAGTTATGTGCTAATAAGCAAGTACTCTACTACTTAGTTACGTTCACAGCCCTATAATAATTTTTTAAAATAAATACACAAGTTTTTGGAGGTAAAAAAAAAAACCTAGAAAGACCTGATCATAACCAGTGAGATTGATGAGGTATCTTTTATGTCATTATTATTTGAAGAGCTTTATAGGAGGTTTCATTGCTGGAACTCAGGTCCTCACTCACACTCCACTTTTTTATTCATTATTGCTATTCTACCAACTTGAGCCAGACCCCACTCCCCACATGTGGTTTGGATAAGCAGTCATATTTTTTAAGGATCATAGCTGGTGAAACTCATGCTCCTGTGAATTCAGAAGGAAGCCTTGAATTTTGTGTTTCTGAGCATGCTTCTACTTTGAAGAGTGGATTGGGGGCCAGTTCTGTAAATGTTCTAAGCCTAGAAATTCATATTGAAAATGTCTTCTCTGAATATTGGTTATGTAATTTTTAATATACATATTTAACTAATTATACTCTGTTTTCCTTTTCAGAAAGTTGTATGTGATGGCATCGGTGTTTGTCTGTCTGCTCCTTTCTGGACTGGCTGTTTTTTTCCTTTTCCCTCGTTCTATCGATGTGAAATATATTGGAGTAAAGTCAGCATATGTTAGTTATGATGTGGAAAAGCGAATAATATATTTGAATATCACAGTAAGTACAGCTTTACAACTTTACATTGAAAAAGTTTTACATCATTACTGTTCTGTTGAGCAGCATTTGATTCCTATTGAGAGGATGCCCTTCAAATGTGCCCTGACTAGTTGCCTTCCCTGCTACGTTGACCCTACCATCCCTGTTCTGCTGACAGTAGCCAAGGTCACAAACCAGCAGTTCTGTGTATACAGAATCATTTAAAATTTGATGTCTTTAAGGGGACAAAATATGCTAAACAATTTCTAACAAAAGAGTATTACAAGGCTGGGAAGGTGGCTCAGTGGTAGAGTGCTTGCCTTGCATGCATAAGGCCTTGGGTTCAATTCCTCACCACCACATAAGCAGAAAAAGCCAGAAGTGGTGCTGTGGCTCAAATGGTAGAGCACTTAAAGAGCTGAAGAGCTGAGAGACAGCACCCAGGCACAGAGTTCAGGTCCCACGACCTACTAAAAGAAAAAAAAAAAGTGCTACAGTCAATTTACTTTTCAATATTCAAGTCTCAAAGCTCTTAGCAAGGAGTTAACAGTTGATTCAGTAGATGTCATAAAGGTAACACTTTTGCTTCTTTGAATTTTGTGAAGTCTAGTTCTGCCATCTTTACCAGATCTTTTCTTTATCGTGTTTAAAGATGAAGTACAAATGACAGTTTGTTTTCTTGGTTGTAAATTGGTACATATGAAAGTGCCTTCTGTGTTTCTTGGGAAGGATTGTGCCCTCAGCTCTTCAGCTCAAGGCTATCGCTCTACCACTTGAGCCATAGCACTACTTCCAGCTTTTTCTGCTTATGTGGTACTGAGTAATCGAACTCATGGCCTCATGCATGCAAGGCAAGCACTCTATCTACCACTAAGCCATCTTCCCAGCCCCTTCCATCTGCTTTTTGCATGTTAAAATTTGCTTAACAATATGGTTTGTTGGGCTGGGAAGGTGGTTCAGTGGTAAAGCACTTGCCTTGCATGCCTGAGGCCCTGGGTTCGATTCCTCAGCACCACATAAGCAAAAAGCCGGAAGTGGCGCTGTGGCTCAGTGGTAGAGCACTGGCCTTGAGCTGAAGAGCTGAGGGACAGCGCCCAGGCCCAGAGTTCAGGCCCCACGACCGGACCAAAAAAAAAAAAAAATGTATATATATGGTTTGTTAATCTCATCTTTAGGAAAAAGGGACGGACTCTGTGTGTGTGTGTGTGTGTGTGTGTGTGTGTGTGTGTGTGTGTGTGTGTGTGTGTGTGTGTGTGTGTGTGTGTGTGTGTGTGTGTGCACGCCCGCACGTGCGTGCGCGTGCATACATGCTCACATTTCAGATGAAATAATACTGTTATCCCAAATTAGATCATTTTATGATATTTCACATGACTGCTTTATAACTCATGGTTTTTTTAATAGGTGGTCTTATTTTATTATTGGAAATTTAGTTAGAAAACATTGTTATGTTTAAATTTGTTTTTATTTAAGGCTATTTCTTTAACATACCTCATGGCCTTTTTTGTGGTGGTTATTTCTGAGATAGGGTCTGCCTTCTTTGCCCAGTAAATTTTCTGAAAGTAAAATTGCCAATTCACGATCATAGATAGTTTAAGGCCTTGGTAATAGAGCATATTATATATATGCAACTGATTATCATGGTTCTTTTTTAAATTTTAAGTTAAATAGATTCTCCTTGCTCCCAGTGACAAAAATTTGTCCTTTATTACTAAATTTCTATTCAGACTATCTTAGTTTATTTTTTATAAGTTTAATCTGTTTTGTTTTGGGGGATTTTTGAGAGGTCCTGCTGTTTGAATTCAGTCAGGGCCTTGCACATGCTAGACAGATACTCTACCTCTGAGCCATACCTCATGGCCTTTTTTGTGGTGGGATTTCTGAGATCGGGTCTGCCTTCTTTGCCCAGGTTTGCAGTTGAACCACAATCTGTCTATTTTAAGCTCTCTGCTGTATCTGGTATGACAGGTACATGCCACCAAACCCAGCTTCTTTCCACAGAGAAGCGACTTTTGGACTTTTTTTCCGAGTTGACCTAGATCTGCCATCCTATTAATTTTAGACTCACACCAAGCTATGATGACAAATGTATATACCACCACACCCAGGTATGAGTTAAGAAGGGATCTCAGTGAACTTTTCTGCCTTGGCTGGCCTCAAACTGCATTCCATCCATTCTCAGACTTTTAAGTAGCTACGATTATAAGCTTGAGCCACTGATGCTTGGTCTTTGTTTTTATAAATATAATATTAGCCGGGCGCTAGTGGCTCACGCCTGTAATTCTAGCTACTCAGGAGGCTGAGATCTGAGGATCAAGGGTCAAAGCCAGTCCAGGCAGGAAAGTCCGTGAAACTCTTTATCTCCAATAAACCATGAGAAAACCGGAAATGGCGCTGTAGCTCAAGTAGTAGAGTGCTAGCTTTGAGCTGAAGAGCTGAAGGACAGCACTCAGGCCCAGAGTTCAAGCCTCCTACCTACAAAAAAAAAAAATATATATATATATATATATATATATGTATATATATATATATAGGTATAAATATGTTAGTTTCAGATAATCTGTATTTTTTCTGCCTTTCTTTTTCAGAATACTCTAAATATAACAAACAATAATTACTATTCAGTTGAAGTTGAAAATATCACTGCACAAGTTCAGTTTTCAAAAACAGTTATTGGAAAGGCACGCTTAAACAACATTACCAATATTGGCCCTCTAGATATGAAACAGGTAAGTCTCTGTCCTGAGATAGGTTGTCATTCAGCCATGTGTGTTATCTCTCTTGAAAGAGGAGGGATGCTTTCTCAAACACTTGATTTTCAAATATGTCCCATACATGTATAAGATTAAATTTTAATGGGGCTGGGAAGGTGGCTCAGTGATATAGTGCTCTCCTAGCATGCATGAAGCCCAGGGTTCTATTCCTTAGTACCACATAAACAGAAAAAGCCAGAAGTGGTGCTGTGGCTCAAGTGGTAGAGCACCCGCCTTGAACACAGAGAGGCTCAGGGACAGTGCCCTGGCCCTGAGTTCAAGCCCCAGGCCTGGCAAATAAACAAAAATATTAAATTTCAGAATCAATCTCCTAAAAGAAGAGATTTCTAGCCAGGCGCCGGTGGCTCACGCCTGTAATCCTAGCTACTCAGGAGGCTGAGATCTGAGTATCTCGGTTCAAAGCCAGCCCAGTCAGGAAAGTCCATGAGACTCTTATCTCTAATAAAAACCACTAGAAAACCAGAAGTGACACTATGGCTCAAGCAGTAGAGTGCTCACCTTGAGCTGAAGAGTGCAGGGACAGCGCCCAAGACCAGAGTTCAAGCCCCATGACCGACCAAAAACAAAAAAGAGATTTCTAGTTCTTTATATGACAGATAATTACGATATTTGGTATTTTGGTCTTATTTGCCATTGATTTTTTTTAGTAGCATTGATTAGCTGTACAAGGAAGGATTTCATTATAGAAATTGTATTACAATTCTATTCTAATCAGTGGCCAACCATTCTCTCTCCTCCCTCCCCTGCCTAATACAATTTTAAGATATTTCATTGTTTCTTTTTCTTTTGCCTTTCAGATTGATTATACAGTACCTACAGTGATAGCAGAGGAAATGAGTTATATGTAGTAAGTGTGGATTTTTGCTGATTTTATTATCTAATAACAAAGTATAAGGAATATTTTCCCTTTCTTAATTTTCATAATTTCAATTAAAAAAAATAACCACATTGTCATATTTTTCCTTCTGGCTGCCAGTCATCTGTTTTTCTCTTTATGCCACTATCTTAACATAGATAACCTTTATGTACAGTAGACATCTGATATCTGTGGGTCTCTGGGTCCTACGAGACCACTATTGAGAAAACCCACAGATGCTCAAGATACAGAATTCAGCGATGACCTCCAGATGCTTGATATATTTTCCCCATAATACTTCTACTAAAGACACAATACTTTTCAATTAATAAAACATTTAACTTTAACATTTAAATTAAGTATCATAAAGTTGTTCTTGCTTTTTGGACATCGTTACTCTATGGGAGGTAGATAAGGACAGTAGAGCACACAATGTTTTAAACGCAACTGATAGTAATATGAGACCAAGCGACTGCTTCGCCACATCATCTAAGCTGTGTGGTACACCTATGAGAATTTGAATTTTTAGTTTGAAATTTCTTTTTGATATTTATTTATGACCATATTTGGTCAAAACCATGTGTAGTAAAATATTAATAAGTCAGGCTTATTATATATAATATCTATAGACAAATTTACTTTATATAAATATATCCCTCTTTATTATTATTTGTTATACTAAGAAGCATATCTTAAAATATTCTTGTTCTTTTAATGTAAGAAGATAAAAGTACACTATAAAATATACACATATATTGTGTATATATATATACATATATCCTACATATATAGTATGTACTATGCTTATACATATATACTATATAGTGTATGTATATACTATGTATGTATAACTTATATGTATGTAATACATATTTTATATATACATATAGAATATGCAGTATAATATGTATAGTATATACCTATATAGATAGGTATACATATACTATATAAATAGTATATAACATGCTATATATCATTTATTATTACTATACTATATACATACTAGTATATAGATATATACATATACTAGTGTATATATGTATATATGTGTTTATGTGTATATATAGTATATATTCATATACTATAATATATACATACTTCATATAGCATACACTATTTCATATACAAGAATATTTCATATAGAATATCATAGTATTTATATGGTATATCATATATACTATGATATAGTATATAATATGCCTTGAGCATAAAGGCAAAAGGCCTTGAGTTCATTCGTGCTCCAGCACCAACACACACACACAATGGTGATGAAATGTGTAACATTTTTTGTATTGCCATTTGCACTCAGGGCCTTGTGTTTGCTAACAGGCCTTTACCACTTGAGACACACTTCCAGCCCTTTTTTGCTCAAGGTTACTGTTTTAGATTGGGTCTTATGGTTTTTCCCAGGGCAGGCCTGTACCACCATCCTTCTACCTAAGGCCTCTTGCATTCCTATGTCCACAGTCTCATGCCACCATGTCTGGCTTATTTTTGAGCTATGTCGACTCTTGTTAACTATTTACCCTGATAAAACACTCCTGTGTCTATATTCCAAGTAGTTGGGATTGCAAGCCACGATGCCCAACTAAATGTGTAAGTATTATATAGTGTATATTAAAACAACTCTACAACTCTGCAACTCCAGTGGTATGAATGCATATATCTTTATGGAAGTCATGAAAAATCTGTTATTATTTGAAGTCTACCAAATGCTTGAACAGTGAATATGATATATATATACACATATGTTGTGTGTACTATATCTGTGTGTGTGTGTGTGTGTGTGTGTGTCTTGCCAGTCATATGCTTGCACTCCTAGATGTCTGGGGTAGGATTACTTGAGCCTACAAGCAATGTATGGAAATCGCTAAAAAAAAAAGAAAAAGCGTACAAATAGTCTCTATTACCCTTAATATAGAAGAGTTTTAATTTTATAATTAATTACATGTATTTATTCACTTTTTAATATTTTAACAGTGACTTCTGCACATTGATATCCATCAAAGTGCATAACATAGTACTCATGATGCAGTAAGTATGAATTTTTTTGAAAATACATTTCTTTTTAAAGATTTATATTTGCACAGTTGTCTTGTGGCCTACACAGCATCTTTACAAATGATATCTTAAGCCTTACTGGTATTCCCTTTATGATTAGAGTAGGTATTTGGAAAACAGTTGCTCAGATAGTAAAGGATCATCTGCTGGATGCTGAGGAGCTCAGAAAATGCAGAAGCTGGAGAAAGTCTAACTCCTAGTTTCATTCTTTACTGTTGTTGTAAATCCTAAAAGAAATGAAGCCGGGGGTCGGGAAGAGGTATTTAAGCCAATAAAACCTGGTTGGTTAAAGCTTGAGTCTTTTAACCAGAGCATTTGACTATCATTTTACCTATGAGGAGGGAGCTGTATAATTATTTTTAAGCATGCAATGAACTACTCCACTTTTAAACTAAAGGTGACTATTTTTATGTTTATTGTGCTTCATAATTTGGGTTTATTCCACCAGAATTTTTGTGTCTAGTAGAAAAATACTTTCTAAAAGACTTGTATCCATAATATCATGAATACCAAATAATTGATCATTAATCATAATGAATAATTCTATTTCATAAAAAATATAATGACTTGTGTTGTATTAACTAGGATTAAGTTGGACTTACAACAGATAATCTATAATCTCTTTTTTAGAGTTACCGTGACCACAGCGTACTTTGGCCATTCTGAGCAGATATCCCAGGAGAGGTACCAGTATGTGGACTGTGGAAGGAACACGACCTACCAGCTGGGGCAGTCTGAGTATCTGAATGTCCTTCAGCCTGAACAGTGATAGCGGAAAGAGGTGCAGTGAAATAAGATGGTACTTTCTGACCTCTCTAGGAGGAGGTACTTCCTAATAGCCGTCTTAAATTGAAAAACCTAAAGTTTACGCCTCTTTTAAGAGTTCAGCTAAGAGAAAGTGGACTTGGAGCTCTCCAGTCTGTGTTGTACCATGATATTTTACTTGAACATAAATTACTGATTGGCTTGTACCCTCTGACCCTAAAAGAGAAAAAACATATTTTCCCTGTAACATAATAACTTTAAAAGTCATAAAGAGAATCCCTAACTCTAAGCCAGGTAATTTTGGTGACAAAAATAATTTGAGAAACTTAATTTCTAGATGTTTTTTATAGAAAATTACCAAGAACCTATTATTCGTGGAGGACTTTGTTTTTTTTGTAAAGATAACCTTTTCTTCTCATTTTATATATGGCATTGTTTTACAGGGTAACATTTCAACCACATAACACTTTAGCTTTTAGCTAAACATTTTTAGTTTTAATTTGTTGAAATTCTATTCATTTGCATGTCTTTCACTTATTTCAATCTGGTGACTGCATCACTTACCAACCAGAATGATCTTTGTAAAATATTTTACCTAAAACTTTCAAAACTTCTATGTTTCACATGTTTTTTCATGTTACATAGCTTTGTGAGTTGTTGTCTGACAAAGCCCTTTAATGTACAATATTGTAAATAAACTGCATGCCTTTATACAGCTTTGATAAATGTCCAATAAAGTGATAAACATTCAAAATTTAAAGTAAGTTGTTCAGAAAAATAAAATAGGAAAATGAAATTCAGAAGTCTAAAAAGTATGAAAAGATTCTAATTATATGTTGGATCTGGCATAAAGTAGATTTGAAATAAAACATTTTGATGCTTCACTTTTTTATGTTGCTTTTCATACTAAGAAATGGTACATATACTGTTTATTCAGATAGAATAGGTGCCTAGTCATCATTTTTGTGAGAGTCTTAGAAGATAGGATTATATTTTTATTGAAACTATTCAAGAAATCCTGTCATCAAATGATGAAACCTAAATTGTGGTTTTTAAAATGTAATCACTTTGTATATTATATGACAGGATCCCTCTGGCTGTAACATTTGTAAGGTTTTCTACTTTTGTTTTTAATTTTACTTAAAATTGTTTTCGGCCATAAATTTTGACTTACTCACTTGATTGTTTTATGTTTTCAATATCATTGTCTACCATGCCTTTTTCCTTTCTCACTTACCAAGTTCTAAGGCTCTTTTAAACACTAAGTATAGGAGCTATGATAACAAAAACAAAACAAACACCAACCAACAAATAGGTCAAGTTAGCACATCACTTTCCCTTTTGGTTCTCTAGTAGCAAGAGTCAGGTTTTTCTTCCCATCCCAAGTGCCTAACTCAGTTCTAGAAATTGCCTATAGCAGTCTGATTCTTGCAACAATGAACATAAACTTTGTTATTCTGCCTTTAAATGCATGTCTTCCCTTAGCTTTCATATCGATTGCTCCATGGATTCCAGAATGAGCAGTTTAAATAAATGGAATATTTTGTTTTTGTTTAACTTTTGTTTTTGGTTTTGTTTAGCCTTTCCTGCATCCACTGACAAGTTCACTCTCCTCACTATTAAACTCAGATCACTCTTTCAATTCACTAAGACCTTCCGCTCAAACACAAACTTTATTTTGATTTTTCTCCTACCATCTTTTCTGGCCACTCCTAATTTCTTTGAAAACATACACTTCTCCAATGTATTGATTTTACTAACATTTTTCTGCCTTCCTTTTTTATTCCTCTCCTCTCCTTTCCTCTCTTCTCCTCTCCTCTCCTTTTCTTTCTTTCCATGCATTCTTCCTTTAATATTTCCTTCTGTACTTTCTTCCTTCTATATTTCCTTCCTTCCATTTTTTACTTAGAATTGAACTGAAGCCTTGTGCATGCTAAGCAAGCACTCTACCACTTGTGCCAGTGCTTTTTTTGTTGATGTTCCATTTCTGAGGTAAAGCTTTACTAACTTTGCCTGGATGGTTTTGAACTCATAAGCCTTCTTCCTTCCCTTTCCGATAGGCACTTGTCACCACATAGCCTTTTCAAGTCAATTAAATTTCATTTTTCCTCTTTCTCTTATTTTGACATGATTTTTGTCTATGAATGAACTAGACCTTTTTGCATCAAAATTTCTACTTCTATTACTTTGAAAATCATGGTATAATGTTGAATTTTGAAATTTGGCACATATATAGGTTCATATTTATCTAGTGAACTAGATTATTTCAGTGACTCTCTGCCGTGTGGCAACAAAAAAAAATGTTAGAGAAATCCGTGTTTTTGTTTTTGTGCCAGTACTGGGACTTGAACTCTGAGCCTAGGTACTGTCCCTGAGCACCTTTTGCTCAAGGCTAGTGCTCTATCATTTGAGACACAGTGCCACTTCCAGCTGTTTCTAAGTAGTTTATTGGAGATAAGAGTCTTATGGAAGACTTTCCTGCCCAGGTTGGCTTTGAACCACAATCCTGAGATCTTAGCTTCCTGAGTAGCTAAGGTTATAGGTGTCAATCACAGCAGCTGGCAGACAAATCTTTCTATAATTGATTTTTTTTGTCACCATATCTTTATGCTACAATTATATCTAAGTCAACATTCCTTTCTTCATAGATATCCTTTAGATATACATTATCTGATAATAAGTTCTCATTTTCTTGCTCTGTATATTTTAACCCTGGTAGATTATACACCATAAATTAAACAAATTTGTCTGATGCTCTGTGACTCATACATCCTCTTGGAATACAGGCATCATATCTCTTGCAGAGGCAGGAAATGGAGGCATATTTGCACTTAGTCACTTAGTTTTTTATCTCTTCTTTTTATTCTTTAAATTGAAAACTCAGTTTCATTTAGTTTTAGTGAAATTTGAATCGCAATAATATTAAAGCAAGTAAAAGGACAATAGAAGAGATCTCAAGATTGTCTGGGACTACTTTCAGAGAAGTAAAAATATCAGAAAAAGTCTGGATCAAAACAGGCTAGAAATAGATAGACTGGAGAAATGTATTTTGGAGACACAAAAGTATAGCCATTAAAAAAAATCTGGAAAGAATATTGAAGGTTTTAATTTTTCTTAGATGCCAGTATAGCTTCTTATATGGAAATAGGATAAGTCAATATATTTTTATAATTACTCGCACATGTTACGCAGGGACATGGCAAAGATAAACTTTTCCTAATGCTTTCAAGAATAACTTTCCTTTAAGTTATACCTTAAAAGCCTCATAATTTTGATTAAATGGAAAACATTTTTTTCATGGTAGAGTGTGTCTAACACATTGGCTGTTGTAAGAGTTCTTGAGACCTTCTCTCATGACTTCTCAAAGGAGGATGAAAGGATCCTCTTCTAGAAGTGGAAGGGAAGATATAGAGACATTGAAGACTTGCTTTAAGAGTGCATATTTTGTAAATAGTTTAGCCGAGAACAGACATTGTTTCTCTGTCTCCCACATCTGTGGGAAATCATTGAAAATAGTCATTGGAAAGCCTTGCTAATATGATAAATATTAGAGGAAGAATTCACATAATAGTGATGATCCAAATGATGTAGATAGCATAAGATTATGCTGTTGGAAATATTTTAAATGAGAATGAACATTTGAGGAATATTTTTAAGTATAATCTACAGCTATATATTTTTGTTAAGATTTAGAGCTTTTTAAGAATGATTCCCCAAGTTCTATCTCCAGTACTACAAAAAAAAAGGAAAAGAAAAAAGATTTAGTGCTTCTTGATCATTTGAATAATGTGTTATCAGAGCTAGTATTTATAAACACTACAGATGATTACATTTGAGATTTGGAATTCAGGATGAAAATATTAGCTATTAGGTACTAGATAAATGTAATTGTTAATCATTTTTACTGTGTAAATGTTTAAATGAATTTTATTTATGTGCAGTTTTTAGTACCCTTTTTGTTTGCTTATGCTTATGAGGTAATTATTATCTCTAAAGGTTAACAAGAAAACATAACTCACTTCCAATCTCCCGGTTGGTAGTTTGTAAATGATACAGCACAGTATAGAAATGGAGGAGGCTGATGTCAAAACACAGTGAAGTGGCATGAATTAGGAGACTGACAACTTTAGTCTAATGAATCCTTTGTGGTTCTGCGCCCTATTACTGAAGGTTAGTTCTGGATGTTGAAATTTTAATTTTTTTTCACTACTTAGAGAAAACAGTTCTTCATGGAATGATTCTTTCTTATGAAAATAATTTCATCTAAACCCAGAACATGAATCTAAATAAGCGACTACTTAGAAAGGAACAGCAAAGTGAGAAGGGAAAAAGAGTAATAGAGAGTCAGTAATTTTGGAAAGGATGCATACAGTTGAAATTTGTGTTTGTTTCTATGAAAACTGAGCAAGGAAACCTGTTGAAATTGTTTTGAGAATGGGGAAGGAAAAGTAATAGAAGGGGTAAGGGTGAGATTGATTGCAACATATTGTAATCATGTATGGAAATATCTCAGTGAAATTTCCCTCTATGTAACTAGTGTGAACTGATAAAAAAATAGCAGACAAACAAATAAATGATTATTTCAGCTAGATACTTTTTAAATGAAAGACATTTTTACATTTTAAGATGCATAGCAGAGTTTGCTAGGCAGTGTAATCTCCCAGTCCTATGACTGGTTTATTTGCTGTGTAACAAGTAAAGATTTTTAGTTCACAGTATCTAGAAGCAGCAGCTACTGCCTCAAACTCATCCCAAGAATAATTAGTTTTATTTCTCTAATTTTTATGTGAAGTTCTTAAATGATATGCATACCTTAAATGATTTTATTTTAAGGAAAAAATATATTTGAGATAGGGAAGTAAAAAAGACCATGGAGCATTATTTCTTTAATTTTTTACATTAAAACAAAATATATTCGTGTTGTTCTTGTATCAAAAACTTTTATAACCCCTATCTATTTCTATTGAAATACAAATTTTCACTTGTCAGTGTATTTCTTATTAGAACTAGCATTTGAATATCACTGCTTATTTAGGAAACAGATTCCCATGAGAGAGCAAGGAAAGGGGTGATATTGTCCAAAAAAAAAAAAAAAGTACTCATTACCTGACTTATATAACTGTAACCGCTTTGTACATCACCTTTATAATAACAATAAAAAATAAATTCAAAAAAAATTAAAAGAAAATAAATTTCCCAGTGAAGTTTTGAGATTTATCCTTGGAGAAAAGCAAAATGGATATAAAATCAAATGATTATTATAAAGATAAAGTGAAATTTTAATTTAATTTTTTTATTTTTTTTGTCAATCATGGGGCCTGAATTTAGCCTGGCACTGTCTCTCAGCTCTTTAGCTCAAGGCTAGCACTCTACCACTTGAGCCACAGAGCCACTTCTGGCTTTTTCTGCTTATGTAGTACTGAGGAATAGAACTCAGGGCCTTATGCATGCAAGCCAAGCACTCTGAGACACCTTCCCAGCCCGAATTTTAATTTTTAAACTAATGTGATTATATTTGTAGTTTATATGTGTGTTTAACATCAATTCTGAAGTTAAGAGTATGTACAGTATGGTCTATTTTTTACTCTTAAAAGTATTGCATACATTAACAAATATATGATAAGTTTTTCATTCATAGTTTAAGTAAGGAAATTGTTGCCTCTGTTTAATTACATTAATTAAAATGTACTAAGAGAAATATTTTCAGGATATTTTGCATACTAAAAAAAGAGTATATTACTACCATGGAGATTATTACAGTTCAAATTGTTCTACTTCCCCAGAATTTTAGAAGTTACAAGCCTAGGAGACACAATATGCTGTAGTGGGTACACTTAAGTGCTTAGACATACGTGTTTTAGTTACATTGGCTGAGGTGGAGCAAATAGCAAGTTTCAAAAGATGCCAAATTTCATTATGTAATGGTTGACCTTAATCATAAAATAACAGCAAGCCATGTCTGTGTATTTGAGTATCTTCTTTTAGAACTAAACTTAAAATAAGATTTTGGAAAGACATTTGGCATGCTCACTGGTCAGATATTTGAATGACGATATTACTATATTCTAAACCTCAACTCTAATTATGGAGTACATATGTAAAAATACATTTGACACTCTTTATACACTGATCACTATCATGGCACATTTGTTAAATATACTAACTCAGCATTTCTGTAATTATAACAATTGATTGCTGTTTATGTGATAGTAGTAAATGGACCTAAATACTCCAAAATGTTATTTTTTTAATTCAGTTATAACTGTTACTCTTATAATTGTCTATGACCAAATAAAATTTGTAAAAATTTTAGCATGAAAAATAAAATTTGTGTCAGTCACATATTTTTGTTGTTTTTGAAATTCCTTTTTATATGTCAGTGTAGATATAGATTTCCCTTTAGCTTAGCAATTAAGCCCTTATAGTCTAGTTGAACCCCACTTCAGCCTCAAATATGATTTATCCTTCATCCATTGTGATTTCCAGTCATTGGCTCTAACAATTGTACCTAAGTAGTGTCTCTTGACATGTCATTCCTGACATCTCTGTTGCTACTGCACTCTCACAAGAAAAGCCTAGGTCTACACTTGTAATCTCACATTACCTGGACACAATGTAACTTTACAATCTCATTTTGTTTTGTTTTGTTTTTTCTCACTGTCCCTCACTTGTTTATCAGCCATAACTCCTGCAGATATATCATTATATATGAAAACATGCCTCTCCCCTAACTTAGATAGTTAATTTCTCTGCTTGGCAATTGTTAGAAATTCATTCTCACATTTGGAATAAATCTAGTGAAGCTATTACAGATATGTGGCAACATCTGTAAAGTTCAAAGTAAGGTTCAGGTCAGATTCTTTTACCATTGAATGTTTATCAAAATGCAAACCCCCAGCCCCTTTCCAGCTTTTTTCTTTTTGCTTATGTGGTGCTGAGGAATTGAAGCCAGGGCCTCAGGCATGCATTCTACCACTGAGCCACCTTCCCAGCCCTGCAGTGAGCATTTTTATTTAGTTTATTTAGAGCCATAGACAAAATACTGTCAGCAAGCTGACACTCCCTATTGTTTTACAAACTACCTATTTACAGTTTAGAACAGATTATCTAATAGGATTCCAATTGAGCTGCAAAGATATTTAGCCAGGCCTGTTGTCTGTGTCCAGAATTGATTGGAACTCAGGCTAGTGCAAATAGTAGACATATTCATCTGTATTTATTTTGCAAAGCAAAATTACTAAAAAGTTAAAATATGAAGACAACCTAGTAACCATGTCTGCTTTTAGAAGATGAGATCAACACAACCCTGGCCTTTTGTAGTTCAAATCCAGTTATTTCACATACCAATTATTATTTAAGGGGCTACTGAGCTAGATAAGAACAACAGTACTGTGCTATACCTCCACCACTTTTTTTTTTTTGGGGGGGGGGGCATCCAGTTGTGGGCCTGAACTCTGGGCCTGGGCGCTGTCCCTCTCAGCTCTTCAGCTCAAGGCTAGCGCTCTACCACTTGAGCCACAGAACCACTTCTGGCTTTTTTTTTGCTTATTTGGTGCTGAGGAATCAAACCTAAGGCCTCATGCATGCAAGGCAAGTGCTCTACCACCTTCCCAGCCCAACCTCCACCACTTTTTATACTTTAGTTTGAGATAAGGTCTTACTAAGTTGTTTATCTGGTCCTTAAACTAATGATCCTCCTGCCTCAGGACCCTGAGTAGCGGAGATTTCCTGTGTGCTTTTTGTGCCTGACTCAATGAAAGTATCTCATAATTTACATTTGAAACTATAAATAAAGAATGCAAATTAAATATGATCTTGCCTCATGCATAAGGAATGACTTGCAAAAAATTATATTAAGTGAAGCAAGCCAGAGAAACACAAGCTGCATGGTTTCCCTCATTTGTAACAACTAGAATATGTCTAGGATATTCTTAACAGAGGATCAGAATAGCTCAATAGCTATGTACATATGACTAAACAAAATGATGCTGATTAAAATGAACTACAAGAAATGGAAACAAGAGGGTTTTTTTTTTCCTTTTTTGTATATTGTTTACAAGTTATTTCTTTTTTCCTTCTTTCTTTTTTTTGTTCCTTTGGTTTATTCCCTGTTGTCACTGTTTTTCATTTCTGTACCCTTTATCTTGTATATAAGTTTATCTGATTTGGGGAAGGGAAGAGGAGTCACAGAAATGGTGGACAAAGGGTGTACCAAGGCAACAGTGATACCAGGCACTAAGTTGGAAATGAATGTTATAACTTGGGGGTGAGTTGTGCATGTGGGGGGTCTGAGGGAGGGGAAACGGGTGAAAATGAGATGCAGGACAAGATAACACTGCTCGAAAAGAAATAGACTCATGACCTTACCTGTGTAACTGTAACCCCTCTGTACATCACCTTTACAATAAAATTTAAAAGCAAATGAATAAATACAATCTTATGAGAGTTTTTAAGGTTTAATTCCTAGACTACCATGTAGTGTTTCCTCCCACATTCCACCAGGTCTTCCATCCAGAGCACTGTCCACAAAGCTGAGAACGTCATGGTTAATATAGATGCAAGAACTTCACTTCCTGTGCTGACGTGGCAAACCACTGTCAGCAGCACCATGGGCAGCACTCCAAGCTTTCCTGAGAAGAGCGTACAAAGGCTCTGGATGGTTTTCCCTTGTAGTTTGCTATCCTAAAATTCAAATACTGTGATAAAGCAGACAGTCATTGAGGAAAGACATGAACAATAAATCCGCCAAGCTTATTTTCTTAAAAACTGAAAAATCAGCTGGGCACATTGGCTCATGCCTGTCATGTTAACTGCTCAGGAGATTGAGATCTGAGGATTGCAGCTCGAAGGCAGCCCCGACTGGGAAATGGGCTAAAACTTTTATCTCCAATTAACTACCAATAGGAAAGTACATAAAACAACCACCAATATTCTGGACGTATAACTGTCGCTCAAGTGGTAGAGTACTAGCCTTGAGCAAAAGAAAATAGGCTGGGAAGGTGGCTCAGTGGTAGAGCGCTTGCCTTGCATGCCTGAGGCCCTGGGTTCGATTCCTCAGCACCACATTAGCAAAAGAAAAAAGCTGGAAGTGGAGCTGTGGCTCAAGTGGTAGAGCACTAGCCTTGAGCTGAAGAGCTGAGAGACAGCTCCCAGGCCCAGAGTTCAGGCCCCATGACCGGACCACCCCCCCCCCCCCAAAAAAAAAAAGAAAATCTCAGAAAGCACTCAGGCCTGGGGAGGAGGGGAAAACAATTGAAAAAAAAAATCACAAAGAAATATAAGTGCTTTCAGTATTTCTTACATTTAAAACTTGTCTCATTCTGACATTAGGGGGGAATATCTGTCCATTCACATGCTTGATTTTCCCTTGCTATTGTCATTACTCTCTGGTACTTGCTAATCATGACTACACCTTCTTTTGCTGCTTCTGGGAACACTCATTTCTACAGTATCACAGCATGTTAGGAAACATATATATATATATATATATATATATATATATATATAATTACTTTTAATTTGCAGAGAAATACAGTTATTAAAATAAAATTTTGTATAGAAAATAAGTCCTGTGATAATGGTAACAAGTATATGATATTTTGAAAACTTAAGAGATTACAGATAAAGCCCTGAGCCAGAACACCAAAGATCTGGTACTAGCTCTACCATAGTAGGGAGCTGGCTCGTTGCAAAGTATGTAACTTTTCAGCATCAGTTTCCTTGTTTCATGAATGTGTTTTGGATATATATACACACATACACACATATATGTTTACACACACACACACACAGTGCTGGGGATCAAACCTAGGACCTTGCACATCCTATTCAAACTTTCTACCACTGAGCTCTATGCTAGCCCCAGGGTGTATTTTTCAATAAGTAATAGCCAATCCAGCAATAGTTTACATTTTGCCCAAGTGTTCCGCCTGTTTTCTTTAGCTCTGGAAGGAGACAAGATTGCTTTTCAACTCAAAGTTCCCTGAGAGCACTATTTGAAGCCCGGTAACTCACAAGGGACAATGCTAGGAAAAAACGAGTTAATTTTATTAACCTTAAATTGTGGTTCTCAGATACAGAATATTAAAGAGCCAACACTTTCTGCAAGATCCATTCTGGACTCCAGGGTAATCTTGATCTGTGTGAATAATAATAAACTATAATGATAATAGCCCAGGATACCTCACAGGGATACTAAGCTTTAATGACTCAATATTCATGGAACCCTTTGAGCACCTCAGAAGTTACATAAGCATAAATGAGTAAGTAGGGACATAATATAACATTGTTATTTCTGTGTTAAATCTCTCTTGATGATTTCTCATAATGTAGGCACTGTGTGAGGCTAATATATGAACAAAGATATGAAACAAAGAAAATGTGAAATAATATATAGTAGTGCTTTCAAATGAAATTATTGTACTCTCATATTAATGAAAGAGATTGAGGTCATTAATTGCCCTCTCTAAGTCATTTCTAGGTTGCAAAGAAGGAAAATGAGAATCTGGATTAAGCTTTTAAGATTAAATTAATGTCTACAAGGAGTTTGCAAAAACATTTGCTTCTTGGATTGTTTTTCTTATGGAGAAGACAGCTATGTTGTTCTTCACAAGCCTGCTTGTTTCACATAGAGAGCCCAGTTTCCAGCCCCATGGGGCTTATTCTTTCAGCCATTCTGCTTTATTTAAGGGTATCTACATCTGCAAATAAAAGAGGTGGTTAAGAAGCTATAAACAGAGTCCATGGATGTTGTCCCTGGGATGCCACGGTGGCTGTTGGCAGACACTGGAGGCTGGGCCAGTGCAAAAAGATACAGCAGAAGAGTAGTGAATGATGGAGTGAGGAGGCTGACCATCATCAAGTCTAGTTGTAGAACTCTGAAAAATCATAAATAAGAAACTGGCCTGACAAGAAACATGCTTCCAAGATGTTTAAAAGTGAACCAAAGTAGTGAGGTCTAGCATTACCCAGTAGGCAAAGAATTCCAAGAATAGACTGAAAGGGGTCCAGAGAAATCACAAAGTAATGAAGAAATGATTTCCCTCCCTATACATGCTGCTTTGCCCCATAATGCTTTTGGCAGATAGGTGAAATTCACTTGGAATTCATGCTATTCCTATGACAATTGTTTTATCAATAGTTTGATTTTGTGTGGGGGGAGGGGTGTGGGGGTGTGGGAGTGTGGGGGGGTGTGTATGTACTCACATTAGAACTCAGGGTCTCATGTTCTTGCTTAGCTTTTTTCTCAACCCTGGCACTCTACCACTTGACTGGAGATAAATCTCTTGCATTTGTCTTCCTAGGCGGGCTTTAAACCAAAAACTGCAGTTCTCAGATC